ATATTGTGGTAGGGTGGCCAGTTCCTTTCCACGCCGCCTTTACTTCCCCAACTCGAAGTCAGGTACCCATTATCGCTGGGTGGGCAGGAGGGGGGGGGGGCGAAAATAATCCGTGTCTGAACCGAGGCTCGAACCTGGACTTTCAGCTTCGGAGAAGAGCGCACTAATCACTCCACCACCGCACCTTCTCCCATAAACTACACAACAGAAAAACGTAGGTTTCCAAGCGTTTTGTAATAATTGTTCTTCTCAAAATGCCAGAAACGGACACCCTTTGTTTTATCCTTGTGCCCTTCATAGAGTCCGTGAATTTTATCTACTGTTTTTTTTGGGGGGTGATTTTTGCAACCGAAATATTATCGGACTCTGCATGGTCCAGGACGCACATTGCCTTTTTTATCTCTCGATATATTTCTTGTACACATCACAATATTTGATTTCTTGTACACATCACAATATTTGATTTCTTGTACACATCACAATATTTGATTTCTTGTACATGTCACAATATTTGATTTCTTGTACATGTCACAATATTTGATTTCTTGTTGTACACAATATTTGGTTTCTTGTACATGTCTGTCATATTTGATCCGAACATATTTTTGCTTGTTCTGCTGTGTGATAGCACTCACTTTCATGCAACAAACGGGAGTTTTTCTTATCTTTAAAAAACAAAAATAATAATTGTTTTTCCACTGCCTGGGGCGTGTTGACTGAATGAGATGATATGGTATCTCTGCTTATTTGTTCAATTGTTTGTTTGTACAGTGTGTTTTTGCATTGTTTGTTTTTAATTCGTTCGTTCAAATGTTTGTGCAGTTGTTGTTTTTTTGGGTGTTCATGTTGCGATATTTATGTTCTATTGTTTGGGTTATGAATTTGTTGTGAGGTGAGTCACGGTGACCTGAAACATCACTGTGACAAGAACGTTGGAGGTGTCGAGGCATTTCTGTCTGAGGCTTTTCATATCTAGATGTTCATCTTCTTTTTTTTGGGGGGGGGGGGGTGTTAGTCTTTTACGGCGCTCGTAACTACATAACTTCATCAGAGCGCTCAGGACACATTGAACATTTTCAGTTGGTGGCTAATTTAGAATTTTGCCCTTGTGGCGGCACAAGTTTGCTTGTATCCATTTTGGACCCCCATGGGACTTTTTAAGTGCGCAACTTGCACACGGGACCTCCCCCCCTCTCTCTCTCTCTCTCTCTCTCTCTCTCTCTCTCT